ATCCAGGAGCTTTGACCTCATACGTGAACCACTGACTCATCTGTCTGCATCCAAGGGATCCCAGGGACAGTCTGGATCCTGTCTGTGTAGTTCTGTGTGGTAGTTTGTCCTTTAGGACAGTGTGTGCCTGTGGGTCCTCTCTTGTCACCTCACACACAGAGCCAGGGGGCTGAGGAGGCTTGGGCTGTGTCCCCTCCACACACAGGATGAGTGGCTGGATGCTGGGCCTTGAGGTAAGGAATGTATCCAGATTTTGAGGGGAAAAGGTGTGCTCTGGTCATTGCAAACTCGCCTGGATTTAGGAATCCTTTTGTGATTGTGTCAGAGCAGTGCTCAAAGCAGCCTCATAGTGAGGAGGTGGAAGGAAGCCAAGAGTCCTGATGGGAATAATGTTTGGTGTGGCCTGAAATGGGACCCTCCCCGTGGGAGGGCAGAGGTGGCCAGCTCCTGCTGCCACATAGGAGTGTCCAGCTCACCTGGAGCAGGTCTCCCACCTGTGGTCACACCGATTTCATGGAGAGCCTGGCCAAAGGTAAGTGTTGGCTTTAAAAAGGAGGTGTTTTTAATGGGTGACTTGGTGTCTGTGTGAGGCTGGATGAATCCAGGTACCCAGCTTGGAAATTTCCAAACGTCAGCCTGATCCAATCCCATCTGGAACAGATCTGGGGGTCACTTTTGCCCAGATTCTGGAGTGGTGAGCCCTGAGGTGCCATGCAGGAGGGTGCTGGGTCTCAGGCTGTCCTGGGCTGTAGAAGAACATCCTGCCACATCCGTGGGGATGCAGAGGAGCTTTGGGAAGTGGGGAAGGACCGTGGCCTGCTCTTTTCCAGCTGTGCCCAGAGGAAGAGCCGGGAAGCCTCATGGGAAGGAGCCTTGGCTGCAGGAGGAGGCAGCTCTCCCACCTAGGCAGTGTTTTTGGTACAGTCAGAACTTGCTGTTTTCTCCCTAAAAAAACTTCTACCAGGAAGATCATGGGAGCATCTCCCAGTGCTGCCCTCCCTGTGTCCTTCCAGAGCAGGGAGCCTGCAGCCAGCATTGAGCTGGCCCTGTGGCTGGATGTGGGTGTTCCTGGGAATTACAGGAATGTCTCTGGAATGTCACGATGCTCCGTGGCCTCTGACCCCACCTTTTTTCAGGTTGGGTGGGTGTTTTTTCCCCACAAAGCTGCAATTATTCAATTTTCTCCAAGGAAAGTGTTTCTTCTGCTGTCTGAAATTGCTCCTTGCTGCCCTGGAAGTCGCCTGACATCAAGGTGAAGTGGCTGAAGCCGTGGATATGAGGGCAGGGAAAGGGAAGATCCCACAGGAGGGTTTGAAGGCACAGTCTTTCCAATGGTTGTGGTCTCATGGAGCCAAACTGTCGGAGGGTCATGTGGAGCCAGATCCCAAAAGGTTTCACTTTCTGCTGCAGAGAGAGAGGATCTGATGGTTTTCCTTGGGAAGATCCAAAGCCATGACCTTGCTGGACAGCCCCAGGTGTCCCCATGGCCACGAGGGACACAGCTGGAAGCTGTTTGGGACAAGGGAGAACCCAAGGATTCAGCTTTGGGGTGGTGATCCAGAGACCCCAAGGAGCTCTGCACCCTTTGAGGACCAAGGGGAGGGGACATAGGAACCCATGGGAGAAACACTCGTCAGGGTCCATAGGGAGGAGCAGCTGGAGGTGCAGAGATGCAGTGGGATGGACCAGGGAGTCCCTGGGAAGTGGGATTTGGGGAAGCCTGGTATGGCCAAGCACGCAGCAGAGGGTCTGTGGTGTGGGATGAGGGATCTGGCATTGTCCCTCCTCACTCCTGGCTGGGATTTGGGGTGCGTTTGCAGGGCTTTGAGGTGAATTTTCTTGGGATTTTTTTTTTTTTATTATGGTAACTTCCTCAGGAAATCTGGAAGCCTGGCAGGCAAACCAGAGTGAGAGACGCCCGGGGTCCCCAGGCTGTGCCGGGGGGTTCGGGCCGGGCTGAGCCCAGCCCCAGGGAGGGTCTGGCGAGCGCGGAGACCGCCCAGCTCATGGCACGGAGGAGCGGCGGCTCCGCCCCGGGCTGGGCTGGCCGAGGGAGCGGAGCCGCTCCCGGTCCCGCACCGCCGGGAAGCATCCCGGCTGCGAGGGGCCATCCCGGATCCATCCCGGGGACGGGCTCTGGACCCGCAGGGACCCCCGGGCAGCGGCGGGGGCCGGGGAGCATCCCGGGGTTGGGCAGACCCGTGGATCCCCGGACTGAGCTCGGGGACCCCCGGGCGGCGCGGGGGGCTCTGCCCGGTCCCCACCGCCGGCCGGGCGGGCCCCGGGGGTCGCAGGGTCCCCCCTGCCCCATAGCAGCGGACACAGCTCGGCGGATGCCGGGGCCGCCCGGGGGTCCCCGCAGATCCCTGAGGATTTGTACCTGTCCAGGTAAAGCGCGGGGGACGCCGGTTTGGGTGGGATGTGTCCCCTGCGGGGGGCTGGGGAGGGCGATGGGTGAGAGCAGAGCCCAAATCCTTCTGGTTTGGCAAGTTTGGGATGTGTCTTTATTGGTGCCAGGAGCAAACTCCATCCCCTTCTGTGCCCTGCGGATGGAGGCTGGCAGGGCTGGAGAGGGGTGGAAGGGGTTGGCACCACCGGTGAGCCGAGTTTAGCCCGGGCTCGGCACACCGGCCTGGGGCAGGACAGGGAGGGAGGATGAGCAGGGAGATCGCTGGAACCTGGACTGGGACATTTGGGGACTGCAGCGTGCTCATGGGGGGGGGAATGCCAGGCTGGTCCAGGTGCTTTGGGAACAGCAGTTGAGACTTCTGTGCCTGTGGCCTTGGCAGCAGCGAGGTGACAACCCTATGAATGCTGGGGGACCCCCCTTTCCAGGGGGGACGGGTGGCTTTGATGGTTTCTGTCCCTTGTTGAGCTGTTTTGTTGTCCCTTCAAGCAGCAAAAGGGACCTGAGCTCTGCAGCAGCTCCCAAGGAAAATGAAGCTGCCCTGGCATTGGGGTGTTGGGATGGATGGAGAGGGCTCTGCACCCAAAAGCTGGGACTCTGTACCCCTTTCTGGGGTTCTGCACCCCAAACCAGGGCTCTGCAGCCTGATCTTGAGGTCTGTGGGTGAAAAATACATCAATCCCTCTGCTGCCAGCAGCGGGAACGCGGTGCCTCTTCCCTTCCTAATGCCTTGGGCTTGATTTCCCAGCGATTTGAGCAGCAGGTCAGGGGGATGTCAGAGCAGCTCGGTGAAACATTCCAGGAAAGAGCTCAGTTAACAAAAAAAAGCCATAAATCCTTCCCAGAGCACCTCCACCCCCGTTTCCTTGCTCATGAGAGATTGATGCTGTTTTCCTAATAGGAAAATACCTCTGGGTTTCATCCCAGTGCTGAGCACTGCAGTCTCTTTCCAGGTGATTCCTTGGAAATCTGCTTAACTTGCTGCTTAGAGCTCATTAGAGAGGGAGGTTTTGGGGAGAGAAGCTATGAAAGGAAAGAAAAATTAGAAATTCTTTCAGATTTCCAGAGGAAATTGGGACGAGTTGGAGGGGGTTTAAAGGGGATGTTTGTCCTCCTGCAGGGAAAGTCAGTCCTGAAAACTTTGCTATTCTCATATTAAAACTAGTTGGGAAGCAGGGAGAGGAACAGAGTGCCTTGCTTGGGCATGGGGGCTTTTCAGGGCATAAAAAGAGGCAGTTTAAGGTAAATCTCCATCTCATTGCTCTGTTAAGATGTCAATTCTCAGCACTAAACAGCAAAGTGGGCCTTGAGCTGAGCTCAGTCCATAAGATGAGCTCAGCACGTTCCCAGCCAGGGCAGGACTGTGTTATCCATTGCACAGGGAGATTTGTGCCAGAGGGAGGAGGTGGGGAGGAACTGGGCATCTCCCAGCCCCATCCCAGCATCGCTGTCACTTTGGGTTACATTCAGGGCTCCCCTTTCTCCTGTTACCCCAGGGATGGGCCCTGTGCCCCTGCAGAGGGGGCCAGGCCAGCACAGCTGATAGTCCATGCCATGAAATTCCCACTTTTTCCTGTTAAAATGCAAGCTTGGATGGTTTTGGGGGAGCTGATCAGCCCCATTGCCTGAGGCTGTGAGCACACAGGGGGAGCTGGAAGGTGGGGCCCAAATATTGCAGAACCCTCTGTCAGAGGCCTATCCAGCTCCGTGGGTGGGCTTTGGGAATTCTGGAGAAGGGCTGAGGGGCTTTGAGGGAGGTATGTGGGGTTTAGGTGCAGTGCTGAGGTTGGGGTTCTGTGGGATCCCACCAGCTCTCCACGGTCTGTGATTCCCCAGCACGGATATCAGGGAACAGAGGGTCCTGGTCAGTTCCCATTGGATTTGCTTGTTGGGTGTTTTCGGGGATCCTAAACCCCCCTTTTCACAGCAGGAGTAGCTGGCTTGGATAAATCCCCCTCTGCATCCATGGTGCCTGTGCTGGGATCTGCCTGAGAGAGCAGCTTCCTTTTGATTTGACTGGGAAAAACCCTTTTTGGGGGAAAGGCAACAGAGCTTTCCTACAGCTTACCCAGGAGCTTATTCCTGGGGAACAAAATCCCCTAAACTCTGCAGTGACCCCAAGATGAGGGAATAGAGCTGCCCCCCTCGGCTGGGCCCAGGGCAAAGCCTTGGGAGAGGCTGGGAAACTGCAGGAGGCAAAGGAAGATTTCATCTGAAAAGCAGCAAAGGGCTTTGAGGGCTCCTGGAGGGAGATTCCACACACAGAGAGGTTGGGAATGTTGCCTCTTTAAAGGCTCCCGTGTAAATCGAGCAGCTCTGCCCCTTCCCGAGGGTTCCTGGTGGCTGAGAGGCTTCAGCGCGTTTGCTCAGTGCCTGCAAGAGGAGCCAAGGCCGGCAGCGATGGAGGGAGAGAAGTGATGGAGCATCCCTGCTGGAAAATCACAAGGCTTTCGATTTTTGAGTTCTTCCCCTTCATCCTGACGCTGTGTCTCGCTCATTCCAGGCTGTCCCCTCGCAGGGAGCGTTTGCCATGGACACTGGGCATGTAAGCAGATCCCGCTTCAGCGGTGAGTCCTCCCCAGGGAGCTCGGGAAGGGTTTGGGGCAGAGCTGCTGGTGCTCACACTGAGGTTTTTTTGGGGAAGGGTTGGCTGGCCCTCACTGCTTTCCATGGGGAGAACCCTCTGCTCCATGTGCCCACTGGGTTTTGTTTCCTAAAGCAATGGTAAAACCCTTAAGACCTCCAAGTTTTCCAACATGAGGCGCTCAGCTCTCAGAAACAGTCAGAGATGAGGGGGAAGCAGGTTCCAGTCAGTTCAGCTGGGATTTGCACTTGGAGTTCCTCAGAGGCAGGAGCCAGTAAAAGATTATTCTGCTATTTTTATTTTCATTCCCAATTTTGCCCTTCCACCATAGCAGGAGCCTGGGAGCTCTGGCACGGGAAACCTCCAACTGCTTCCCACAGCGTCCTTAGCCAGGATGCAGGGATAGAGCAGAGCCCTTGAGGGTTTGGGTTGGGGTGGATGAAGCAGGACCCGGGTCCCATCCCAGTGTTTAATCTCGGAGATCCCTGTGGGCTGCTCCCGGGATCCAATTCGCTTTGGATGCGAACACTCCGTTCCTTCTGCCGCTCCCGCTGGAGGAGGGCTGTGGGGAGCAGCAGGTTGTCCCTGCGCCGGGATGCGATGTGGGAGTTCAGCCTGGCTTTGGGCTTTTTCCGGCTCCGAAGGAGGGAGCGCTGCGGCGTGGTGATGCCGGAGGACTCGGGATGCGCTCCGGGATGAGCAATCCCCTCGTTGCCCCTTTCCCGTGCCGCACGGGGCGCTTGGTGCCGGTTCGGCGCGGGAGTGATGGAGGCTGGTGCAATGCAGCACGAACCGCTCGCAGCCGAGCCCGGCGCTCCCTCCCCGCTCGCTCCGGCGGCACCCGCGGGGCTCTGCCTGTTTCCAGCAGCTTTCCGCTTGGTTTTCCCCTTCTCCCGGCTTTTCCTGGCATCCCCAGGCAGCAGCTGGGCCGAGGGCGATGCAGATGCGCGCCGGGCACGTCTGTCAGTGGGACAGAGCAAAGGGACCCCCGGCACCTCGGGAGTGACACAGCCGCTCGCTGGGAAGCGGGGCCGGGACACAGGAGAACTTCGTCTCCCGGGACAGCCGAGCCAGGGCTGGCATGTTTGGGCTGGCAGAGCCTCTGCCTGGCCCGTTTGCAGCCACCCGGGTGGGAGCTGCGGTTTATCCGCTTCTCGGTCCATCCCATCCTCGGAGCTCGGAGCCGAGTTCCCGGCGTGGAAGCGGCCGAGGCCGAAGGCTCATTCCCGGGATTGTGACCGGCTCACGGAGCCCCCTGTCCCCTGCAGTGGCCTCCAGCCCGCCGCGGTGGGAGATCGGGCTCTACGCCGCCGGCGCCTTGGCGCTGCTGGGGATCGCAGCCATCAACCTGTGGAAGCTCTGGCGCTCCGGGAGCTACCCGGCCCCTTCCCCCTTCCCCAACTATGACTACCGGTACCTGGAGCAGAAGTACGGAGCGGCGTGCCCGGACATCAGGAACAAGGTAAGGGAGAGCTGCGTCTGTCTCCTTCCCTTCGCAGCACGCGGGATGCTGGAGGGGTGGGAATATCTCCTGGAGCTGCCACAGGCAGCAGCCTGGTGCTGCTGGAGTTTTTCGGGGGATCGCTGGAGCTGGGAGCTGCGGGAAGCTCCGGGCTCGCTGCCGCGGCAGCTTGAGGCCAGGCAGGGGCCGGGATGCATCCAAGGAGGCGCCGGAGAAGCCCAGCTGTCCGTCTCGGCACGGAGGGATGGCATTGGGATGGATGGCAGCGCCTGCTTTCCTTTCCCTGGCAGCGAGGGCTGGCCCCGGGCTCGCAGCGGGCGCCAGGTCGGAGCTCTTCGTCCCGCAAGAGCAGCCTGAGGGCAGAGGACGCCTTGGAGAGCATCCAGGAGCTGGGCAGCCTGGAGCTGATGGGCAGAGAGCTGGGCCTGGCCCACTACGGCCCCCTGCGGAAATCCATCTCGGCCGACTCCCTGAACTCCATCTCGTCCATCGGGAACAACTTCGGGCAGGATTTCACGGTGGGGCAGGTGGAGGTGTCCATGGAGTACGACGGGAGGGCGGCCGCCCTGCATGTGACGCTGCTGCAGGGCAAGGACCTGCTGGAGAAGGAGGACGCGCGCTTCGAGTCCTGCTTCATGCGGATCAGCCTCCTCCCGGCCGAGCAGATCGTCGGCATCTCCCGGGTGAGCCCCCCCTTCCCAGCCAGACCCCCCTAAGGAGCCCGGTGCACGTGTGGGTCCCCCCACATTCTGGGTGGCAGCGTCCCCTGGCCACATTCCCCGAAGAAGTGGTGGGGTTTGGGAGCAGGGAGGTCCAAGCATGCCAGGATCAGAAATGGCTGGCACAGGATTTGGGGGAGATCAGCGCCCCAAGGCAGTTGTGGGGTTTGGGTGCATGGAATTCCAGGCTGGATGTGGTTGACATGGGATTTTGGGGTGTGTCTCAGCTCCCCACAGCAGTGATGGGATTTGGGAGCAGAGGGCTCTGGATTGGCAAAGGATTTTGAGGGATGTCCCAGGTGGGTTTGCACATCAGAAACCTGGCAGAGGCAGGAATGTCTCCCCCTTGGCTGGGATTTGGGCTGACTTTGTCATCTCCGAGTGTGGCTGGTGGCATGTTTTCCTGCTTAACTGTCCCTGCTGTGGAAAGGACGCTGTGGCACATGGAGGAAGTGGCCTGGGGTGGGATTTGGGTGGCACTGACAGTTTGGGCAGGTGCTGCTGGTGTCCTGCCATGGCCCCACAGTCCCTCTCCTTCCCACGGCAGCCCCAACACTTTTCCCTCCCCACAAAGGATGCAGCAGTAGAAAATCCATGTGGCAGCTGTGACAGCCACAACTGGGGTTGGATCTGGTGCAAAACCTCCCTTTTTAAGTGCCTCAAAAGCTGCTTTTGGAAAGCAGGACCCTCAGTTTTGCTCCAGCAGCTCCTCTATTGCAGAGTCAGTTTGATTTAATCAGGATATTCCAGCAAGGAGTAGGAATTTGCACCCCATTAAGGCACTTCTCCACTGGAGTAGAGGTGCTGTTCCGTCCACACAAACCAGCTGCTGCCTCCAAAATATTTCCACAGTGCCCTTTTAGACAATTTTTCCATCCAAATCTCTGACTCTTTATTTATGCTCTGGAGATATTTATTATTTAGTGTCATTATTTATAATTCACCAGTACAATTTACCTCCTTTGCTGCCTCAAGGCCACAGATAAAGGCCCAGGCACCTTTTTCCCCCCCCAGTGCTTCTGGAGGGTTTTTAAATAGCAGCTCCTGTTTGGTTGTACTTGATCCAGAGCTCCCAAAATACAGCGTGGGCTGCAGACAGACAGTCTGTAAAGTCTGTAGGGCTTTAAAATCTGCTCTTCACACAGAGGAACTTCAATCCTCTGGGAGCTCTGGAGGTTGGTATCCAGTGGGAGAGCCTGGATTAAGGAGGCAGGAATGGCAGGCGCTGCCTTTGTGTCCTTTAATCCAGGGATAGAGTAAGGTTAGGAGCAGACTGAGACAGGAGAGAGTCCTTCAAGGAGATGAACCCTCTCCTGTGGGGCTTTTGGGGTGACAGAGCCCCTCAGAGAGGTCCCTACTCCACCCAGATTTGGGGGGCTTTGGGGAGCTGGTGGTTCCACTTTGCTCCATGCTATCCAAGGCTGCAGCTTTTCATCCCATGGGTCAAAATCCTGGTTTGCCTGTGACATATTGAATGCTGAAACAGGGCTGGAGTAGGGGAAAAAACAACCCCTAAATTAATGACTTCAGAGCGTTTCCCCTCAGCCAGTTCTTTGAGATCAGCACCAGCAGGATGAGCCATGGGAGCTGCTGCTGCTGCCTCTGCTCCCAGGGAATGACCTGACACAGGGACAGCATCAGCCAAACAGCTCCATTCCCACTGGGCACATTGAGGATTTGGCTCTGCTTGGAGAAGAGCTGAGGGTTACACCTTGAAGCCATAAATCCTCCTGCCTGATATGGCCAAGCTGGATGTGCATCCACACTCCCAAAGGCTTGGGATGCATCTGAGATCGCTGGGCCAAGGCTGTTTTCTAATTAACAGAATTAACAGGGGATGGGGCAGGTCACAGCCCTGATTTTCACCCCAATGGCTGAGCAGTTGCTGCGGTCAGGTCGGGAATAAATCATCCCGACTGGATGGGGTGTGCCCCGGGGATGCGCTTCCTGCAGTCCCCACAAAACGGGGCAGGGCAGGGATGCAGTCCCAAGCCCCAGGGGTGCCAGGGCTATCCCCCCTTCCCACGGCAGATCCAGAGGAGCTCCTACTCCGTGGCCTTCGACGAGCGCTTCTCGGTGCCGCTGGATCCGGTGGCGCTGGAGGAGAACAGCCTGCGCTTCTCCGTCTTCGGCATCGACGAGGACGAGCGCAGCGTCAGCACCGGCGTGGCCGAGCTCAAGCTCTCCGACCTGGACCTGGCCACGCGCCCCTTCAACGCCTGGCTCTACCTGCAGGACACCAACAAGGTGAGCCAGGAGCTGGGTTTTGGGGCGTTGTGGCTGTGCCCTGGATGCTGTGTCCTGACTGTTGTGTCCCTCAGGCAGTGGACACGGTGGGGGAGATCCTGCTCTCCCTGAGTTACCTGCCCACGGCCGAGCGGCTCACGGTGGTGGTGGTCAAAGCCAAGAACCTCGTGTGGAGCAACGGGAAGGTGACCGCAGGTGAGGGGGGTTCCGTGGTGGGGTTAGTCCTGGGTTATCCTGGTTGCTACACAGGAGTGGCTCCTCATGAGGACAGACCTGCCGGGAATGCCACCGCAAAGGGTCCCCTGGTTTCTCCACATCGCTGGGGACACGTGGGATGGGACTGATCCCTCTCCTGCTCTCCGAGCAGATCCCTTCGTCAAGGTGTACCTGCTGCAGGACGGGAGGAAGATCAGCAAGAAGAAGACAGCGGTGAAGAGGGGAGACACCAACCCTGTGTTCAACGAGGCCATGATCTTCTCCGTGCCCGCCATCGTGCTCCAGGTCTGGCCCAGCCCAAAGGGTTGGGGAGGGGAACACATCCCAGTGCTCCTCAAGCTCCCCAAACCCACTGGTGGGGAGCTCCTGGGGGTGTGGGGTTCGTGGGTGTGGTTTGGGGCGGATGTGTGGGGGTTGTTTGAGGGATGTGGATGTGTGGGGGCTGTTGTGGGGTATATGGATGTGTGGGGGCTGTTGTGGGGTATATGGATGTGTGGGGGCTGTTGTGGGGTATATGGGTGTGTGGGGGCTGTTGTGGGGTATATGGATGTGTGGGGGCTATTTGGAGAGGTGTGGATGTGTGCAAATGGCTGCTGGCGGGGGGATGTGTGTGGGGCACTCTTGGGGAGGATATGGATGTGTGGGTTGGGATATAGCAGGGTGCAGAGAGGGATTGTTTGCTATGTGGACAGGGCAACAATGGGTTTAGGGGATGTGGGGTAAAAGGAAGGGGATGTGTAAGTGTGGAGGTATGCAAGGGTGGGTATTTAGGGATTTGGGGGGGCTTCAGGAACAGGGGGTGGGTTTGAACAGGGTGGGGGCACAGAGGGCCATGTATATGTGGGGTATGGCAGGCTGGGTGGTGATGCATGGATGTGCTGGCGTCGTGGGTGCGTGTCCCCGTGGAGAGGGCCCAGGGACACGTGTCTGGCTGGGTCTGTGTGTGGTGACAGCCCCGCACCCGCAGGAGCTGTCCCTGCGCGTGACGGTGGCCGAGAGCGGCGAGGACGGGCGCGGTGACAACACGGGCCACGTGCTGATCGGGCCCGCGGCCAGCGGCATGGGCACCACGCACTGGAACCAGATGCTGGCCACGCTCCGCAAGCCCGTCTCCATGTGGCACCCGCTCCGCAGGAATTAGGCCGGATCCTGGGGACAGCGAGCCCGGAGTAGGGACTTGGTGGCACCCCACAAGGCCGAGCTGCTGAGGGGCCCAAAATAGCCAGAGCATGGACAGAGCGGCTCCGTGGGCGCGTTCCTGGATGCGTGGGGCCAGAGCTGCCAGCCAGGACCCAAATGGACCAAAAGCAACAGGAGCCTCCTCGAAGCGCGGCTCCCGAGCGTTCCGCGTGCTCCCGATGGCCTCGAAATCCGCGGAATCCTCAAACAGGGACTCTGAGCGAGGGAGAGGGGGGATTCCTTTATAAGGTGGTTTTTGGGTGGGAATCGTGAGGGGGGGTGACAAAAGCCAGCTTGGCGTGGGTAGTGACCCTGAGGGAATCTTTTGTAGTGACTTTGGTGCTCTGTGCCAGGGTTGGAATGTTTCCAGTGAGAATGGAAAAAGGGAGCAATAACAGCAGAAAATCAATTGTTACATATGGCTTCTCTTCCCATCTGTTCCCCCCCACAGTCAATCCCTGCCCATCTCCACTGGCTGCATAGGCAGGGACTGATTTCCAGCCTCTTCGGTTTGAGGTCAGATCCACTCTGGGAATCATCCCCTAAAGGTCCAGTAGGATCAGGGACAGCTTTTCCCACCCCAGCCACTTTTCCAATCCAAACTCACCCTCAGAGTGCTCAGGACAGCACTGCACATTCCTGCTACTTAACACAACTCTCCCAGCTGGGGATTGTTTCTTCCAGCCCCTAATCCTGGACTTGGGCTGTGACTTACCCTATAACTCATTTTATCCAAGATTCGGGCATAGAGAGGAACGCCTTGGCCTTGTGACCCAAGGCAGGTGGGAAAAGTCCCTAATTTTATAATTTTTAAGCCCAACTCCTGTTTCAGGAGGAAGGGAGAGGAAAAGCCTGTGTGAATCCTGTCTGCTGGTGGGCTCTGGTCCAAGCCAGGTTTGGGATTTTTGGGGAGCTAATTCCCACTCTGGTTTGTGGAGGCTAATGGAACCCCTCATGGCACAGAGCAGAGCACTGGGGCCACATCCCTCCTTGCCTGGAGCCTTGGCTTTTCCCTGCCTGCAGGCTGCTTGTGGGAAGCCAGGCTGGGAAATCTGGGGGTGTCCGGGGCCCTCTGCTATGGAAATGGCACCAAAGGATGAGCATGGGCTGGGATGTGGCTGCTTGGATGATCTGAGCAGGGAAAAAGATGTTGAGCCATTTATCCGTTTTTCCCTGATTAAAAAGTAACTCCAAGGTGAGTTATCCCCTGAGCTGGTGGCAGTTTTCCCATTAGGTCCCTTTGGGACATGGCTGTGATGTCCCTGTTCCATCATCCCCCTCTGCTCCTGCTCCTCCCCATGTCTGTCTTCGCTCATTGATTCCCAAATTCCCTTCTCCCACACTTCCTCCTCCCCACCTCTCCCTCTAGGAGCCTCCCCTGTCCCACTGCTGCCAGGGGAGCCAGTGCCATCCCTCCATGGGTGATGCACAGCACCAAGGCACAAGCCAAGGATGGAGGGGTTTGAAGGATGAGGAAGTTTTTGTGGGAAGTTGTTCACAGCCAGTACTCACAGCCCACGAGGTTTGGGGAAAAATTTGCTTATTAGCTATCCCAGCCAAGTTTTTGGGAAGAGATGGACACAGAAATCCTTGGTTGTCTGTCAGCCCCTGCCAACTGCTGAGCTTTACTTGGGATGAGGTGAGTGACTTCCACAGGTGCTGGATTCTGTGATGTTTAGCCCCAAAAGGATGGGGAATGTGTGGATTAGGCATTTTTACAGTGCTCCTCTCCAGCCATTCCTATTTGGAGGCCCTTCTGCACCTTCCCCTTCATCCTGGGGACAAGAAATGCTGCTGGAGCTATTTTGGGGTTGAGATGGAGGGACCCTGTGTGAAAGATTAGGAAAGGGTCCAGGATGAACACAAGGCTCCCTCCCACCTGCAAAGCTCATGTGGCTGGACCTGCTGTCACTATGGGCTTTCCCAGTGGGAATCAGCCTCCAAGGAGCTCTGTGGGAAGGGACAGGCAGCAGTGAGGAGGGAGAGACCTCCCAGTGACACAGGAAGGCTCTCCCAGGGCAATGGTTCCATGTGCTGGAGCAGCTCCTCATGGTGTCAGCACGGTTTGGGCTCAAGGCCTCCCTTCCCTATCCCTATTTCCATCCTCAGGCACACCTGGAGCAGAGCTGAGCCCCCTCCTGAGCCCCTGGCCCACGTGGGGAGGGAATGGCTGCAGTGTGGACAGGCTGGGTCCCTCCAGCTCTGAGCAGTGCCAGATTGCTGGGCTGGGATACACTCATTCCCTCAGCCACCCTCCCTGGAGAACAGGATCACCCAGGGTTTTCTGTGCCTCCCCTGTTCCTGCTCCCGAGCATCCATCATGTGCTGCCGCAGGGACCGATGTGACAGTGACAGCTTTGGGTGTTTAATGCCCATTTCACCAGCGTGCTCTGGACCCTGAGTGCATCCATCACTGTGTCCATATGGATAACCAGGACAATGCAGCAGCTCTCCCTCCCCTGCCTCGGCTCTGCAGCTCAGGAAGGCTCCCAGCTCCAGGTTTTCTCCCCAGAATGGAGCCCGCTGTTCCACCCAGGCCCAGCACAGCAGCTTTGCCCTGGGTGGGCTGAGGCTTTGAGGTTAAAAAACCAGAATTCAGGTCCCTCATTTCTCCTTCTCTTTCTTTTTGCCCTTCCTTTGGCTCGTCAGCTCGCTGAGCTTCTGGTCCAGGCGCCGCTGGAGGTGGGCTCGCCTGGCGGGATCCAGGGATTTGTCCTTGGAGCCGCTGCCGGGGTACAGGATCCCCTCCCGGCTGATCTGCTGCCGTGCCTGCGCCTTGGCCTTGTCCCCGCAGCCGTGCACCTGCGGGAGAGAACCCACACCGGGCACTGGGCACGGATCACCCACGTGGCAGCCAGGGGCCTTCACCCCTTGAGCCAGGAGCTCCTTTTTGGCCTGCTTTGCATCCCCCTAAAATCATCTCCCATCATTTACAGCCATTATTATCATTATGTTATTATAATTATTATAATTACCATTATTATTGTGCAGTTATATTGTTTTATATACTTATATATTTTTATAATTTCAATTAGTTATTATTTTATTCTTTATTTTATTCTTCATTTTATTCATTCATTATTATTTTATTCATTGTTTTATTATAATTGTTTGCTATTCATTCTATTTATTTTCATTCTATTTATTTTCATTTTATTTCATTTTATTTCATTTTTATTTAGTTTCATTTTATATTTAGATTCTATATTTTTATATATTCTTATACTTTTTGTTTAAAATTAATAATTAATATTTGTTTTTCTGGGTTTTATTAAATGATCATTTATAGCTTCTCTAACACAGAATGATGTATAAAGATCCAGGTCCTGGGCTCTGAACAGCAGGTAAATCATCCTTTGGGATGGTTCAAGTGGCTCCTTCCACCTCCTTTCCAGTGAACTGGGAAAGGAGTTTTGGGGAACAGGAGACCTTTTTTAGCCACCAATCTGCTGCTTTAATGAGCCAGGTCCAACACTGGAATTATCTCTTGCAGGCGAGATCCTAAAATCTGATCCCTTTTCTTGCCCCATCCCAAAGTAATTTGTGTTTCCATGGAGTGAGGTCCCAGCCTGATCCCTCAGAGCTGTGACAGCCCTTCCCAGAGCTGACATGGATTTGAATCCCTACAATTGTTGGAGCCTTGTTACCATTCAGCAGGGAGAGGCCATTCTGCAGGGAATAAATCTCCATCCCCCTGGATGTGAGTGACCATAAATACAACTATTCCTTGCCATGGAAACAGATAGCTCTCGACAGAGGGAAAAGCTTGCCAAGGATTTATAGGGCTGCTGAGCTCCTGGGGGTTCCATAGGGTGAGGAACAAGGACACAGGGAATTCTGAATTGCTGGCCAGGCAGCACTGCACTGTCCCCAGGATGCAGAGACAATCTGCAAAGGGCTGGGATCATCCTCAGAATAGAGGGAATGTGCAAGGAGCTGGGAATTGAGTCCAGGTTTGCTTGAGCCTGAAACTTGTGCTTCTCCATTTCTGCTCTCTGCCTCACCTTATCCACAGGGCCTCAGAGTGCAAGTGCCAGAAAATGGTAAAGAATGGCACAAAATGAGAGGAAAACAGAAAAGCCCTCAGGAAGAGGTGAGCAGAACCCAGGTGACAGCACCTGCCAGCCCTGTGTACCTGAGCTCAGCACAGGCTCTGACAGGGAGGGCTCTGCTCAAACTCCCTGCAAAGAAACCCTCCCTGCCCAGGGAGCTCCACAGGGAAGCTCCCAGGCTAAGCCCATCCTGCCGCTCCTTACCTCGGGGATGTGGTGGCTGAGGCAGAAGAGCCGCTGGCAGTGGTGGCAGAGCTGGCCCAGGGTGGTGACAGAGGCCTTGCAGCGGGGGAAGCCACAGGTCCTGTCAGCTTCGATGGCAGCGGAGATCAGAGCGTCGAAATCCTCTCCAGCCTCACTCCCGACTGCCGGTTTTCCTGGGAAAGGTGAGCACACACCTGGATTGGAGTATGGGAACAAACCCACCCTCCTGCAGCCACAGGGCAGCCTCTGCCTTTACATCCTTCAGTGTGGGCCAGGTACTCCCCTCAGCTCCTCTCCCTACTCTTGGAAGCCTCCCATGTGATTCCTGAGACTCTCTCTTGGGAAAGGGTCTCCAGTGTTTTTCCTGACTTAAGGAATGTGCCTCCAGGTATCTAAACCCCTCTACCTGGATGCAGCAGCCAGTTCCCACCTCCCTGCAGCCTTCCAAGAGCCACATGCTCCACGCCCAAGTCTCAAGGTCTGGAGCAAACCCACGGGGATTAAGATCCATTCAAGGAAGAACATTAATTGTGCTGGTTACAAAAAGCTTCACCCACCTTTGGCTTCACTCTTGTCCTTTTTCCTTCTGCCACTCCGGGGCTCCTGCACCTTCCTGGCTGCCTCCTCCCGCCTGGCTTTCTCCCTCTGGACTCTCTCCAGGTGCAGGGATTTCAGGTCCACTTTGCCCAAGCCCTTGCTGCTTTCTCCCTGTTCCACAGGGTCAGGGGTGTTCCCGCTGGGATGCTGGGGCTTGGGAAGGGGCTCAGAGGGCTCGGAGGGCAGCGAGGGCTCAGAGGGCAGTGGGGGCTCAGAAGGCTCGGAGGGCAGCGGGGACTGCTTGGGGAGTCTCTTGCGGACACTGATGTACCTGTCCCGGCCCTCCCCGGAGCTCAGGTGCTGCAGCCCATACTCCTCCGCCAGCACATGGACCAGCATCCGCTCGTGGGAATTCAGGGATGTGGGGAAATCCAGCTGCGCCTCGCTGCTCGCCAGGAAGGCCACCAGCATGGCCCTGAACCTGTCCCCACCCTCCTTTGACCCTGGGCCGTCTCTCCCGGCTGCAGCAGCGCTCGGGGAGCTCCGTGCTCCCGGTTTCTGGCTCCCCGCTCCGGCCGCCGCCACCTTGAGCTTCCCAGCCGGAGCCGGCCGCGCTTTGGGG